TCGTCTTGTAGTCTTTTGGAATGACCTTAGAAGACAACGCACCGACATGTTACGCGTTAGGGTGCTTTCACTCGCTCAAGAGTTTCAGCCAAATATACTGCATGTAAACTTTACATAACGCTGATAGCATCAGATTGTTTCTGTAGATGTAACTTGTTGCGACACTCTTGTGGACTTCGCAGCTGCTTGCTTGTACCTTTCTGACATATGAGGCTGCATCCTCCTCTGTGTAAACCTCTGCACTGAAGGCTCCTCTCCGCCGGCGACCCTTTACCACAGGGTTCATAGGTGGAGACACCTCCTCATCACGTGAGTCTGAACGGGAATTGCTGGCCTTCTGTTGGTTCTGAATCTGCTTGGCCTCCTCCTGGAAGGGAGGGAGGGGAATGAGTCAGTGAGGCAAAGCCAACAGGGTTTATTGCTGCTGCAATTCATTCCAGTTAAGTCAAGGCTTATTAATAAAGCCATGTGTAATTAAATGCTACACAATGCATATCAACACATAAAACACAAAACAAAATAAAATGACTGCTAAAACTACTGTGATGTTCCTCCTTAAGATAACCCAGGGTTTCAGAACCATCCGAAGGCCACAAACATATAAAACCAAAAACATTTACAGCTAAATTTCTAAGTCTTTGTAAAGCTAAAAATACACTCCACAAGGATTTGAAGGTTATTGTCAGGCAAGCATCTAAAAAAATCTGACAAGAGGTTGATAAACTACAAAAGATGTGTAAGAGAATTAAAAAAAAAAAAATCCTATCTTGAATAAAAATGGTTCTACAAGCAGTAGTTTCAGGAAAACGTTTGTAACCAATTCATAGTAATTAAATATGAAATTTGATTTATTGTATGTGCAGTTGTGTGTTTTAATTGAATTTAATTAATTATCTAATCAAGAATCAATGAATCAATGAATTTGCCGAACTAGATTTTTACTGGTATTTATAGTAAATGAAGCATATGGTTTTGAACATAGCTTCTGTAAGCCTGATCCCAAAGTGTACATATACACTGAAGAAGTCCAAAATCTTATCCAAAGCATGTATATACTGTTTATAGAAATCATGTATTATTTTCTTCATACACATATTTTTTTCATTGTGTACAGTTGCAGAGTGAACGAATCAACATACATAAACAATTGGGAAGACCAAATAACAAAAACTGAAGCTCGTAGTTGTGCAGAAATAAAGTAACAACTGACAATAAAGTGGTGTCAGCATGCTAGATAGAGAGCTAATTAGCTTAATTTGAATATATTACTAAATATTTAAGCTATTGCTATGTGACTCTTAGCCAAACTGCTGTACTCGGAAACAATGACATAAAAAGTTATAGAAGATTTAATCCAAAACATGACTAGCAAAAGTAATGATAACATCATGGACATACAAAGTGCTTCAAGCTAAATGACTGGGAAATGGCTTCGTCTGTGACATCCACTGAGTTGAAATGACAAACTGATTTAATAAGGTTGTATTTTTTGGCCTTAGAAATAAAAGGAAATACTGTCTGACCAAGTGTAAATAATTACAGTTTATGACAGAAAATAATAGGTGGTTTATGAGACGCCAACTGCGTGGTGTAAGATGAGAGTATATGATGCACAGCTTTCACTGTATAATGATTTGCCTTCTGTCCACTGACCAATAAGGTTAACCAAAAAAAATCCAATAACAAACACACACACAAACCTTCTCCAGCCTCTCGAAGTATTCCCTGAGGAAAGCCATGGGCCTGTCTGGCCTGGAGGTGCACAGCTGGACAATGCAGTCCTTCAGCAGCTGTTGAATGTTGTGTTTCTGCACGTACTGCTCACACTCCCTCAGGCTCCGCTCCTCCTCACTGCTCGTACTTCCAGATGCCATGACGACAACTGCAACCCTGCTCTGTGGCCTCTAACCTTTGTTCTGGAGAGAGTGGACAGTAATGGGAAGAAGGAGCGTGATTTCAGATCATCACTGTACGACATGGATTCACTGGATTACCAGAGAGCGACACAGAGTAAAAGCGCCTGTGTGTCGTGATGAGAAATGGACAGACAGAAAACGTGAGAATGTGAGAAAAATAGAACCAGAGTGAGAAGGCACAGAAAGACGGGGTGGTGTTTTGGCACTATGGAGCCTGAGTGCTTCTAAGTGTCAGGAGTGAAAACTGGTCATATGATGTGATCACACAAATTTGACTACACACAACAAAGTAGGACAGGCACACTGTCTGTGTTGGGTTTATTTACTCAAAACAAGTTAAGTTTCTCACCAACCTGAATGAAGTCTTCTATCTCAGTAACTGGCTATGGCTGAAACAGTATTATAGCCAAGGCCTAATTTTAGACGAATGGTTAAGTGAAGGCCAGTGACTCAATCCACTGTGAAACAGACTTAACCATAAAAACGAGTGCACTTGCATGAGGTTTCAACATTTCAGGCCACAATACTGTTGCTGAGCAAAATAGCCTGACAGATCATCTGATCAGTCTCTGTGATATCAGCTTCTTCAGATAGCTCTGAAGAAAGGCCTCTAAAGCCCTGCTGTAACCAGTATGTGCATTTTAGATGAGAAAATGAGTGAACAGCAAGTCCTGTGGAGAAAACAGACCAATCCATCCTCTCCCTGCAAGTGTATCATGCATGTGCATCAGTATAATAGGATTTGGATAATTTCTAATCTGACAAGGCCCAAGGGAGATTACTAGCCATGTTATCAAAGATGAGGCTGGCACAAGCTTTATGCAACTAACTACACTTGTGGTGGAAACTTGGCAGGCTTGCTTTACTCTAAACCTACCACAGGAATAACCAAGTGATAAATGATACTGTTTACAGACCAGGTGGTATAAATTAAGAGCTAAGACTACAGGCAAGATCCAACAACAGGGCTCTTCAGTCTAATATAATTAGTAAGTTTTATTTAGTTTGGAATCTTTAAAGTATTCAAAGAATACAATTAACATGTTAATTCTTTAATTCAGTTACTGAGCTGCAGCATCACCTCTGCTGTCCACTACGAAGCAGGCTGTCAATTAAATTAGAAAAAACACAGCGGTACACAAATGACCTTGCTGTCCAACTGACAACGTACTATACTCGAGGATGGATGATATAACACAGCCAATAGTGTACGGACTGAGTAAATGTTATCGCCTTTAGAGACTGTGAAGCAAATGCCCTGTGTGTAACATCGTCTAGGTCAGGAAGGCTTCATGAGGAGGCTGACGGCTGCAGCCAAGTAACTTACAGCGAGCAGACTCATACTGAAATACTATCTACCCAAAATACAAAATAACCAGTAAACACAAAATACAAATGGATAGTAAATTAGTTACACCTATGCTTAACTATTTTTGACCTACGTAATGTTTGAGAGTGTGTCTAGTTTGATGCCTAGCTGGCTAGCTCCGTGCAAAGGCAAAGCTCTCCTCCAATGACGCCATCTTGAGTTCTATCATAAACAAACGAGAGACGGAGCAAACAAATTTCACCTATCCAGAGGTCATATGTTCCATGAACTGAAAGAACGCAAATACTCACAAGAAACTGTAAATTCTTGCCGAGCCCTTCGGTAGCGACTCGGGATGGATGATATTTTTCAAAGCGTACCGTTACCAGATCCTCCTCGCTTCGATTTTTTTCCCGAGCCCTGGACCGCTGCCCCACCGGATACGGCTGAGAACCAATCAACAGCCGTCACTGACGTCAATTCTCCTCGTTCTGACATGTGAGCCCGTAACCCCTGGCAACCTTAAAGGAGACTGCACGGAAACCGTGACGTCAAGGAAATAGTTTCGAAACAAAAAAAATCCATTGATATCTGATTAAAAACTTGCCCGATTACGGGAATCTCTCTGCGTTGTCTTTATCGAGAGCTTTGTAAAACCATCTGGTTCACCGCGGGGTGCATGGACTTCTTTGATTTCACATTTGTCCCGCAGGGGATTAATTAAGTATTTCTTATTAGGGTGTTCTCGTATTTTGGGGACATTGGATGCATGTCTTGTCAGGAACAGAAAATTCAGAAGTGGGCTCCCCAGATAAATAAATTCTCATAGGAACAATGACAAATAGTGTAGAGTTCACTTCAGACAGCATAACATTTGAATAATGGTTTAAAGTGATCAGGATATTTTTTGTGAAGTACAAAAAAGTTAACAATAAGTTGTCATGTGCAATATAAATTATGGTCATGGCTGTATGTATGTCGTGCACTCAGAATGTTACTCACATAAAAGTACAGCGGTATCAACAAAATGTACTTAAAATATCAGAAATTAAATTACTTCTTTAAGCTGCAATATGGCCCCTGAGATTCTTATGTCATTATATACAATGTTTTTGGATTGTCATTACCGATGCATTAAAGTGTGAGCGGGATGTTATAGCTAGTCGAGATGCAGCAAACTTTATCTGATAAGGTGGCCATATGGTTTGCATATTAAATCTACATCTGCAGAGTTACAGCTAACTAAAGGGGTCAGGTAAATGTAGTGGAGAAAAAGTACAGTATTCCCCACTGAAATATAGCGTTGCTTACAAGTAGCATAAAATAGACATACTTAAGTGAAGTACAAGCACTTCAAAATTGTACAGTAAAGTACAGTACAGTACAGTAAATAAGTAAATGCACCTATCTAATAAAGCAAAATAAAAACAAATAAAATCTTTAAACTCTTAATGACATTTTTTTGTTAAACAACAACAGAAAACATTGTCCAGTAGTTGCACATCACTCTGTGTCGTTGATGTGTCCGCAGCAAAAAAGCCTGATACACGTCTTTTATCCAATGAAATCATCAAAACAATTCCTCGTGACAAGACTGAACGTGCAATTGGCCAATAAACAGCTTTTTCCTCTAAATAGGCGGCTCTTATTTGAGTGACAGCTCTTGTGTCAAATCAATCAAAAGCTTTCAGCAGCTCGACCAATAGAAATGGCCGAGAGGACGGTTCGACGTGTTACCATCAGCCAATCGTGATGGAGCTCAGAGTGACGCATCCTCCCATCAGCTGTTTTTGTTTTGCTGTGTGAATATTGAAAGTTAATAACACAATAATAACACTGTCGACTGACTGAAGAGAAACGGGGCCATTAAGGAGGTGTAATCGTCTGTCTTTTGTGCCGTTCAGACTCGGGATAGTTCACTCGGTGTGTGATGTGTGCCACCCGAGCTAGCCTGACCGGACATTCCTCTCCCTGAAGAGTGTGAGCGTGGCGCTTGGAGTCGGGGAGCAGAGGAGGGGAAGCGGGGATCGACCCGAGCCGAAGGCCTCCGACCTCGGTCAGCGAGAGGAGAGCGAATTTTGGCGGGTCGGATGGAGTCCCAGGACGCGCCGGACGGGCCCGGAGTGCACCGAGGCTTCATCTGTGCCTCGTTTAACCAGGACACCACGTAAGCGACCTGCGGGCCGGGCCCAGCATGAACTCAATCTCCTTGATGCACCTGACTATTGCATAATTATTTTCATTCGCATTTACACCCAGTGGTTTTCAATTTTTGTTACTTGTTTAGAAGAGCCCACGAGTAGACAGTTGTATGTGTGCGTTCAAATGAAACTACAAGCTTATGTATGTCTTATTAAAACTTCCAGATCAGTCCCTACCAACTGAAAGTGAAGTAGGCCACTGTGTTAATCTTCTAGGCCTGTTGCACATTAAACTACACAGTTAGCAACCAAACTTCTGGCTGTTGAGTAATGAGACACAGCTTAAGACAATGTACATAACAAAGTGTCTCATGCATGACTCCTGCTTACCTCCTCCTTGAGGCATGACGACACTTAATATACAATTAATAATTAACATGCAACAGTGGGAGCCAATGAGTCATTTTTCTGAGGATAATTTTTTTAAAAGCAGCTTTACAAACAGAAGTTTCTGTGTCATTTTGTATGACTCTCCACTAATTTTGACCAATCATACATGTGCTGTAAATGTCCATTTTCTATTATTAGAGTATTAGATAGTAAACTAGGACGAACCAGATGAATTCAGCACTGACTTCTTCTGTTACAGGTGTGTCTGCTTACACAAACATCTCCTCTGGCTCTGCTCATAAAACTAAGCAGGTGGCCAAACACTCAACCTGGCCTTATCTCTGTCATCCTGTTTTTTGGGGGTTTTTTTTCATCTTCAGCCATGATAAGATAAGATGAGCTTCTTTGGGGCAATTAAAAGAGTTTAATGGAAGATGCGTAACAGCTGTGTTGTCTAAACAAGATAAGATAAACTGAACGAAATCATGTCATATACCAGGCACCTCCTGGGATGAAGCAAAGCTTGGATCTGACCTGGTAACCACATCCTATCAGTTGTGGCCATAGGCTGCCCTCAAGCTACCAGTTCACCAATGACACTCATTCCACACGAATGACTTGAATGGAAACTAAGTGTCATAAGGCCTGTGGCATATAGCATCCTTTATATAGATTCCACCTCCTGGGTGTGTGCAGTGTGCATGGATAATCATCTATTTTTAATCTTTTACTGACCATTCAGTCATTTGTTCTTGCACAAACAAACAAAAAGCTTTCGGGCATTATTTAACTGCACAAATAGTTGACTTTATGTGTATCAGTCAATCAGTAAATCATTGCACAGTATTATTAAGGTATTTTACATCTGAACAGTGGCGGATGTGGTTGGTAAGATGGTCTTTGTTGTTTGTGTGTGTGGTTTTATCGTAGTTCTCTGTCAGTGGGCACCAAGACTGGCTACCGGCTCTTCTCAGTCACAGCTGTGGACAAACTGGACTGCATCCATGAGGGAGGTAGGAAGGGACCTGTTCTTTAGTCTCTTCTCTCAGCAACATTAAGTGTGTGATGCCACATGACAGCTCCCATGTTGACCAAGTAGAATATACATGTTCGTGGGTGTATTTACAAAAGTCCTGTCATGCATACAGTAAGTACACTGTGACACACCAGCATCCCCTGCCTCAGATAACATAACTGCTGAGTGACAGAAGTCTACATAGTATTATCTGAGCTGTGGTCAGGTTCACCTTGGTCATACAACAGTACAGACAGGCCACAGCATGTTTGTTCTGCTGCACACAGGGAGGTAAACACAGAGGAACGCTCAGTTTTCTAATCCTCAGCAGCTGCACTGAAAGAGAAAGTAAAGAGTCAGTTTAAGGAAGTTTGAGCTCAATAACCTTTTCTTTGCCTGGCAGTTTGTATTCATATGTAATTAAAGTGGATGGTAGTTAGCAAAATGCACAGTGTATAATAGCAGTGGAGCTGTTAAAGTGGGGGAAGTTGCATATGAATTTAAGAGAAGAGGAAGAAGCGGGTGTATGAGCTTATAATTAAATTTCCATAGCTTTACTGCGTAGAAGTATCCAGCTGTATCCAATGTCTCTCTGTTGTCCCTCCCCTAGGTGAGTGTCCAGATGTGTACATAGTGGAGCGGCTGTTCTCCAGCAGTCTGGTGGTGGTGGTCAGCCTGTCCATGCCACGGCGGATGAACGTCTACCACTTCAAGAAGGGTACGGAGATTTGTAACTACAGCTACTCCAACAACATCCTCTCCGTCAGGCTGAACAGACAGGTAATAAACAGGAGGTAGCTCTCTCCACGCCTGCAATCCTCCTGGATTGTGCTGTCTAATATATTTTCTCGTGCTAATCTCTGTGTCGCTGTCACCTCAGCGGCTGGTGGTGTGCCTGGAGGAGTCGATCTACATCCACAATATCAAAGACATGAAACTACTCAAGACCCTGCTCAACACACCCACCAACCCCTCAGGTACCCTAAGCTGTTACGCACACATCTACATATAGATTACATAGATAGTGTGTGCATTCGTTCCTATGGACTCTGACCACAATCTTGTTAATTGCTTCACTTTAAAGCAGCATTATGTAATTTATGTAAGTTTCATTTACAGGATAATGGTAAAGTCTAAAACATAGTGGAGCAGTAGAAGAGTCATAAAGTCAGCAAACATAGTAATGTTAGTTGTAGATCAATATCTATCTATACTTTGCTAACATTAGCCACCAGAAGCTACTGGTCACACCAGACCAAGTAAGGCGGTATCAGCAAAACCACACAGCTGATGCAAGATTAGTATTACTTGTCTGCTTCTGTCTGAGCTAGCTAGCAAGGTTTTAGGGACAGGCAACATTACTTAAACATTAGTTAGCGATCTAGCAAAAAACACCTCTAAAAGTAAACTGAAAAAACATTACCTAGTGACTCACAACTTGCTCGGTTTTCAGACGTGTGTGTTCATATTCACATTTTGGTTGCAAAGAAAAGACGCAGTGTTGAAGGAAAATGATCCACCCCTGTTGGAGGCATTGTTGCATCCATGAGTAACGTTATAGCGCTTTTTTATTGGGGGGGGCAAATATACATAAATATACAAGTTTCACTGACTTCATTTCACTGTGCTGATGATTTGATAGATAATACATATGTAGCTCCATTGTGAAGCAACTGGCCAGACAGGTGCAGTAGGAGTGTGAAGAGGAAGAAAAAGAAAACAAGGAAGAAAAAAAAGACAGAAAACAGCCTGAACTATCCTCTGTACTCCCTCGTAGGTCTCTGCGCTCTCTCCGTCAACCACAGTAACTCCTACCTGGCGTACCCCGGCAATGCCACCATCGGAGAGATCACAATCTATGATGCCAACAACCTGGTGAGACTGCATTAAACTCTAACACAGCAACAATGGAAAAATTACAGCTGTTGTCATGTCACTTGAAAAGCCCGTTGGGAAGAGCAGCCCAGAGTTGATGTCACTAGAAAAAACACTTGTTTGCCCTTTCAGAGCACTGTGACGCTGATTCAAGCCCATGACAGTCCCTTGGCAGCCCTCACCTTCAGTGCCTCTGGCACCAAACTGGCCAGCGCTTCAGAGAAGGTGAGGACTTGATTCCCTTTTATCCCTTGTTTTGTTTTATTTCCCTGCAGTCTAACTGTTTTCTGCTTCACAGGGCACGGTTATCAGAGTCTTCAGCATTCCTGAAGGACAGAGGCTGTTTGAATTCCGGCGAGGGATGAAGAGGTTAGCGCTCCTTTTCATATAGTTAAATCAGAAACTATTAACAATCAAACTATGGATAGAGAGTGAACAAGATGACAAAAAAAAGAGTTGCATGTGTTCAAGTCGTGCATCCATCCTTTTTTCAATAAAACATCATTTAATCTTAACTGTTACTGCCTGTTTTTGTTTCTTCTGTGTGTATGTGTGTGTGTGTGTGTGTGTGTGTCAGATATGTTAGTATCAGTTCATTGTCCTTTAGTGCGGATGCCCAGTTCCTGTGTGCCTCCAGCAACACTGAGACGGTCCATATCTTTAAATTGGAGCAGCACAGCCCCAGGTAAACACTCAGCTCGGTTTGTTTCCACTTGATGAATGAAGTCGGTGATTTGTTTTCTGTAGATCAAAAAAATCAATTCACTGACTGACCAGCTTCATTGTGCTGGTAATGATGATGTACTACTGATGTGGTTTTTGCTGGTACTTTCATCCAGGTCAAAATAAGATGTTTCTTTTAAAAAGGATTTTATTTTTTATCTCTGGTAAAATGTTTTCCTTTTGAAGATTAACATTACATTATTCATTTTGTATATGCTGTTTTCCAAAGCATCTTACAATGACATGGGATTTCTCTGTGTTGTCCTTTTCTGAACCTCTCATGGTTCAGGGAAGGACAATTCATCAAATGACCAGCACCCTCTGCTGTTTTTCTGACGTAAAGCAACCCAGCAGTTTAAAAAAAAAATTGAACCAAGTCCCTTACTATGTAAAATTCAACTGGACAGAAAAAAAACCCCTCCAGTAATGATTTATTGATGTTGTTTCCTTCCAGTCCAGAGGAGGAGTCTCCTACATGGTCAGCATATGTGGGTAAAATGTTCACAGCAGCCAGCACCTATCTGCCCACCCAGGTGTCCGACATGATGCATCAGGACAGAGCCTTCGCGACTGTACGACTCAACATGTTCGGCCTGAAGAACATCTGCGCCCTGGCAACGTAAGGCGCAGAGAGAGAGAGAGAGAGAGAGAGAGAGAGAGAGAGAGGGAGGGAGAGAGAGAGAGAGAGAGAAAGAGAGAGAGAGAGAGGGAGGGAGAGAGAGAGAGAGAGCAGGTTCATTCACATCTCGTGTGTTTTGTTGGTCAGAATTCAGAAGCTCCCTCGCCTGCTGGTGGCGTCCTCAGACGGGTTTCTCTACATCTATAATGTGGATCCACAGGATGGAGGCGAGTGTGTCCTTGTCCAAAAACACAGGTGTGTGTCTTAATGAGGTGTATCACACATAAATATCTGCTTAAAGGTAGAATGATTTTTTTGTAGGTGTTGTTGTGTTGGACGTTGTTAAGTCTCAGTCTGCTCTGTTCCTGCAGGCTGTTTGACTCCAGTGAGGAGCAGGTGGAAGAGAAGGAAGAGGACAAACCAGAGGATGTCTCTCCCCAACCGCCCGGCCAATCATACGCTGCCACGGTGGCACTCCCTTCAACCCCACCCTCCTCCACCACTCTCATGGGTAGGCTAGTCCTAATCGTAAAACCTTTCCAACATGTAACACTGGCATCCTGAACTACTCACCAACTACTCTTTAAACCCTACTGTAGGCTACATATTTCTAGCTCCTACACTACACGTGTGATGTTTTAACGACTGCTGTTGTGCAACTCCTGAAACCTGTCGTAAACATGGAGCTTTTTTGCTTCAAGTTAAAACACATGCAAATGCAAATAAAAGTGCCCTTAAGTCAGAGCTTACAATGTTATACAGGAAGTATTTCCTCAATATTAATCCTTTGGTTTAATTCTAACTTTAAAATGGTTCATACGTGGCAGATGAGATGTAAATATCTGAAAGCAATAGCTGTAACGTTTCAACAAGAGGATTATCAATAATATATTGAACTTAAAGATATGAATAGTAAATGGGACGATGAATTTAGAGGACTAGAGGTAAAAAAAAAAAAGTAATGTTTAAAGATGTCTTCTTCAGGGGAAGTGAAGAGTTACAAAAACACTATAATCAGTGATTATCAGCCCATTAACTTCATCTAAAGCACCTATAAAAGAGTTTGCTCAGGTTTTGTGAGTTTAATCTGAGCAGAAGCCTGTACATCAAAATCAAATCTGTCAAAGAAAAAAAAAGCATAAAAAGCAGCTGATGCTAGAGGGACTTACAGAGGACATGAGGATGTTATCAGCAGCGGGAGGGCACAAAAACCATCTCTGCCTGTCCTCTTCTCTCCCCAGGCTACTCTGAGGACGGTGGAGCCCAGAAGGGCGAGGTCATCCCCGAGCATGAATTCGCCGAGGGCCCCGTCTGTCTTGATGACGAGAACGAGTTTCCACCAGTGGGCAACCAGAGTAACTGACCAAACCCCCGGCGAAACCCTCCCATCCCTGCGTAACAATCAGACTCACTTGTTTCAAGCAGCGAGGATGGACAAAAATATTGCTGACGTGTTGAGACATTGTGGCACCCCCACCCTCCCACATGTACCCCTGCTGGCCTAGGGTCAAAACGTGCCAGAGTGCTACTTCCTGGTGTGTCTCTATTCTGCATCCCTCCCACTTTTTGTAATAAGGAAGAAATATGAAAAAAAAAAAACACTAAAAAAATGAGTGGAAGGTCCAAACATCATTAAAAACAACATTTTAAGCTGTTCTCTTAGACAGATTCAAAGCCTGTCTCAAGAGTCTCACAGTTAACTCCCATATTACACCATAAAAACTGTTAATACTTTTTTAGAATAATGACATTTTTGTTGCACAATATTATAACGGTAGTAACCAGATGAACAGGTGATTGGTCCAGCAGAGAATGATTGAGCAGACTGAATAAACCACGGAGGAGACAACAGGCGGGCTTGGCCTGCAGATGTTGTAGAGTAACTAGGCGCCAGATTCACAAAAATGCTCTAAAGAGAGAGATGAAGAAGTCACCAGAGAGGCAATTTTAGCAGCTTCTTATGAGCCAAAATGCAATTGATAATAATCAGAAAAAAGTAATAATTTTTTATGTACATGCCTTCTTTTTCTGTCACTTCCAAATCATCTGAAAATCTCTCATCAGGGCATTTTTGTCAGTCGTTAGGAGCTTATCAATGGGCATTAAATGCATCACACCTTAAGACAGGAGAGCAGCAGTTCACTCGAGAAAGGAAAAGATGTTATAAGTGTGAGACACTATTTAAATCACCTTACATGCAGTAAGCATTACATGACTTGTGGATGCGGCTGCGATATTAATCATGGTAGCGATAGATGAGACTAAAAACCTGCAGAGTCACATAAATGTGAAAAGCTTGATGACGAGCTGTACGTGACAAAGTTACAGGTCCGAGAATTTCAGTGATATCCTGAAGACCTTTTTATTTACGACACGATGCTGAATATGTTAACATGTAAGTCATAGTCATTTTTACTTTGATGTATTAAATATTCTTTTGCAAAAAAAATGTTTTAAGTATTACACATCAACGCATAGACTTACCATGCGTAATTATATATTGAGGATTTTTACTGTGTGTATAATGTATATATAACATTTATATATAGTACTGTTGTAATAAGTAACATGGTAATACCATTTCAGTTGCCAAAAGGTGGCACTGTTAGGACACCCTTACGCTGCATTGAGCTGTTCAGTACTGGACATTTACCACAGAGACTCATTAAAGCTGGGAAGTGATTCAACCTCTCTGCACTGTCTGGTTTTGATTTTAAGATGGCATGATTTACATCGTGAATGTTTAAATCTCATCAAATGTTCAACAAAATAACAACAAATTGACGTATTTGTACCCTGAAACTCTAGTTGTTGAACAGTGTGTTTTTCTTATGTTTAATTACATCCCAACAAACTGATCTATACACTGTGGCAAGAGCTGGTTTGATAGATCTTAGTTTCCTCAAATCATTAGAAATACCTCACCCTGACCTCCTCTCTGCCCCCTGACTAATGACAGAGTTTGGCCTCTTCTTCTCTTTGCTCTCTCTGCTTGTTTGCACATCTGGACGTTGAACCTCCCCAAACAACACATTCTACAAACAAACAGCTGAGCACATCCAAAGGAGATATTTGTCTCCACATCTGTTTGCTTCCATCTGTGCGCTTCTCTCTTGCCCTTTTGTGTGAGTGTTTCAGTGCGTCAGTTCCCGTCCCGTTGGCCCCGCGGGTGGCAGCGGCAAACAGCTTGTCCCGGGTCACAGCAGGGCGCTGCTGATTCGTCTGTGCTGTAGTCTGCTGCGGACGCAGACGTGTCGGTGGCAATGTCCCATAATAGCTCCTCCCTCCTGCGGGCGATCCTCTTTACTACTGCCTGGTATTCAGGTGTCCCAACCTTCAGGGGGGTTTCCTCGGCCTCATCACGCTCCAGGTCAAATATCAATGGTGTGTCATGGAGCTCCTGCCTTCCTGTTGCACCACCACATGACTCAGCTGCACCTGCAAGGGGACGGGGATGGTGTTTATTACGTTTTAGCCCTTTGTGTCACATTTAAATGCTTTGTTTTGTGATAAATTGCAATATGAACTCTAAGGACTTACAGGTACTTTCAAGAATCTAATTTTTCATTCATACTTGCTTCACTATAAGAATGCAGCTGTTATCATACAGCCTTCAGAATCATGCTCAGAGAATATGTCTGCACCGTCAAAAGGTCCCAGCATGTTGACATAATGTCCTGCACACATAACAAGTAGCACTGCAGACATGAGTCATTACATTAAGTTTTGTCAAGCAGTTCTATATGTCTGGCTGTAATGTAGAGGGACTGGTTTATCGCCGTGGACACATATGATCTGTATTTGACTCGTACCTGTGATGTAGAAAGCTTTGTATTTCCCTGTTCGAACTGTCTGCAAGTCACCAAACTCCCCCGCAGCACCACTGTTAGGGTGGAAAAGAAACTGCAAAGAAAGAAGAGAAGAGCTAATGTCTGAAACAATACCCCCATCGACATTATTTATATACACCGAAGTAAGATTGACAACAAAAACTAGTCAGTACCTCATGACCAGTCTGTTCACCACGCAGGAGGGTATTTGTGGCATCGATGCCGTCGTAACGTCTGTCTGAGGGAGGTGTTACCCCTGCCAGAGACAGAAGAGTTGGGAAGATGTCCATACCACTGCAAGAGAGCATAAAGACATGTATAATGTGTTCTGTTAAGCTACTGGTATTTAAGATAAACTTTTTTCCTCGTCTCCAAAAGCATCTTCCTGCCTCGTGAACTAACAGTGTGCCTCAGTAAGCATGAAGGGGTTAGTGAGGACTCCTCATGTATAAGTACCACCTATACAATAAACATAGCATTAGTATTAGATAGTGTTGGAGTCTCTGCGTGTTGGTGAAATGGGAGCACCTAGTACCTGAGCAGGGCGGAGTTGGTGCTGTTTGCAGGGATCCTCCCGGGCCAATAGGCCACTGTCGGCACCCTGTGACCTCCTTCCCAGGTGGTCCGCTTAGCTGAGCCTCCACCTAACACACCAGCAAATCATCAATTTAGGAAAAGGAGGATTCACAGTGATATGACGGACAGTACAATTATCAATACACACTTAAGCCAACCACCACCGGACGGACTTTAGGTTTCTAGTCATCCTCCTCTCCCTCCACTGCCACCTCTGTAAATCTACGCTTGTTCCTCTTATAGGCCATTTCTCCTTCCTCCCTCCCACGATACTTTCAGCTCCACAAAATACACATCACTGCGTTTCTAACCACAACACAAGATCTGGTCTTAGATTAGTGGTAGCTATCACCCGAGGGAGGTCAAGCTGTTTCCCTAAATCGACTCTCATTTGCCGATCCCTCCCTTAATTTAGCTGCCTTGCATCCTGCCTGTTCAAAGTGGCTTGCTGCCTGACTCATTAACTTGTTCAGCCTCATGAGCCTACCTCTTACTCCCACGGCTCCTGCTAGACACTTCAGCACTCGGTTAATTCTCCAGGTGTATCGACTTTGAGTCAGGATACTTTTACACCCTGAATGAGCCAAAGTGAAGCCATACCTGAACATAAAGGACACGTTGGGTCCTCGCCTATCCATTGGCTTGGATTTGGAGGGATGGAAGCACATAATAAGTTCCTCCTTGAATGAATCTAATCCTTCCAGCTGTCAAGTTTTGAGATCATTTTGCGGCACATTAATGCTCTATTATCTGTCACCTTCCCCCACTGCCTTCAGTGTTGTTTCCACTCTGACGAGCCTATCTCTCTCCTGCTGCCGCCTTGACTTTACCACCTCTAATGCTGCTTTTTTCTACTCTCCAAAATACCTTTCCATGCTATTTTCATAAAATAAATCTTCTCACCTGTCCATTTCAGCCCTTCCATTGCACCTATCAGATCTGAATTAACGTTTGCCCATATGCCATTCTCACTAGCCCTAAGCCAATTCACTTTGACTTTCTGTCCATCACTCCTCTCTTTCCTTGGCCGCCTATTCTCATCACTCTCCCGCCCCTGTTGCTAGGTGCTACCTTTTGCTTCCTCCTCAGTGGCAGGGATGCTGATGTCCTGCAAGCTTTGGTTACTAGCCTGTCGCTGGAATCCAACCCGATTGATCTGATTGACTCAAAAGGACCCGATCAATGCAGGGTTCCTGTCCACTACCTCCCAAGCATGCTGTGTTTACAATACCACCAGCTACCAGCTAACACCATGTCAAAATAGGCAGCAAGCAACAGCCAAACGATCCCCCTCAGATACCTCACCTTAGCAGGTAACAAAGCATCCACAGGTGCCTGAATGCATTTTTCAGTGTCTCATGAAGTTTATTTTTTATACCTCTGCTTGTCTGCCACTTTCCCATGAAAGGTCCTACACTTCCTGCGTACTGGCACTTCTTTTCCCAAGGACCGTTGTCACCTAAACACCATACACACACACGAGACTGTGATTATTTTCTACAACAACAATCAAACTGGTGGTGTAAAATAAAAGACATAATCCATCCAGCGGTCTCACCTGTGAACCAGATGAGAGTATTGTTTTTGTCTGTGTCATCAGAAGCGCTCTTTACTGCCCCGACCAGGCCGTCCATCTCTCGCAGACTGGCACTGTACACTCTGCCGTCGTTTGGGTGGTGAGCAGCGGTTGGGGCACCTGGAGGGAGCGGGGGCGCCAGGGGAACATGCATGTGAGCCAGTGCTATGTAAAGCAGATAGGGCTGTCCTCGCTCCCTGAAGAGACAACGAATAAAGTGTCGGATAGTTTATACAGACAAATGCTTCTTTGAATCAATATTTGCCCATAAGCAGATGTGTGTTAAAGCAAAAGGGCAAGCTCTTGACTCACAAAGTATCTACTCTCACACTAGACTCCAAACATAGACCACCATTATCTCCACAGTGCAGATTTCTTTTAGACATTTTGACTTGTCACAGCAACATGAGGAATAACATTAATGATAACAATACTTTATATTAATCCTGGAGATAAACACCGTAATGGAAAGCAGCCATTATCAGTGTTATTAGTTACAGCTGTGCTTTTCCTGCTACCATGACATCATCATGTCTGCTCTGACAAAAAGCCTGTTAAACTCATGTCAACTCGCAGTCAAGCTTAGAAAAACAAAGCAGAAAGCGTGAAATTCAGCCAATGATTTGAACAACAATGCGTTCCCCAGATGAAAACTTCATATTTGCCAACATGCAACACTGGCATATAACACATAAAAGTGAAGTATACTGAACTATATTTTGTGTAATCGTGTTGGAAATAATTATACATGACATCCATAGGGTATGAATGTGCACATTGGAGCAGGTTTCCTACATTAAAGGACCAGTGTGTAGGATTTAGTGCCATCTAGCGGTGAGGCTGCAGGTTGCAACCAACTGAATGCCCCTCTCCTCACCCCGCGCTTTCCAAGCATGAACGAGAAGCTACGGTGGCCTTCAATGTAAAAACACAGAGGGCCCTCTCTAGAGCCAGTGTTTGGTTTGTCCGCTCTGACCGTAGAAACATGGCAGTGCAACAGGACAGGTTTCATGGAAGAGGACCCCCTCCCTACATAGACTCTATGCTATCGAAAACACGACAATCTGTAGTTTCAGGTGATTGAACACTGATGAAAACATAATTCACTTTCTGCCAAAATATCCCCCTCCATCCTGCACACTGGTCCTTTAAAGTGAAAGCTGACATTTTGTTTTTCTTTGTAGGAATGTAAACTTTCTAGCATATCTGGAAAACAGCATTAGTCACTTTAAATGACCTCACTGAATAAAAACCTGCATGCTGTTGCGTCTTGACAAACACATGACCGATACCCGCGGCATGAAGGCATGTTGTGTCTTTCACACACAGCTGCAAACAGCGGGGATCACCCCACCCCCCCTCCAGCCGCTCCAACACAAACACACTAACACACACACACACTAAGACGCACACACACACATATACTTTCTGCACTGTACTACTACCAGCATTCTCACCTCCATATAGACAAATTAAGAAAGCTCCTATCTTCTGTCTGGAATATCAACAAATGGTGCGATTACAGTGAATAAGCCTGGAAGTGTGTATTTAGTTTTTATAATAATTAAAATGTTCTTCATATTAGTTTAACACCACAAAATAAAGCAAGATCAACAACTCCTTGACACATTAAATCAAAACTAATCAACTAAGGCACAAAGGCAGTACTTAGCATAAGGCTATTATATTGGACTGTATTATACTGTATTGGCAGGTTATCCTGTTATCAATACAACACTAGGAATACAGGGTTGTATTAGCACAGCCCATGAAAACACTGACACCAACATGTGTAGCTTCAGCCTGCTATACATCAGCTTATCTCTATGAGCCATACAATTTCACTATTTTCATTAAAACGCATAAAATAATATTATCACTGGGAATGGGGTGACATATAAACATGGAGGACACACAGATTGGTGGTCATCATGTTCCCAGCCTCCGGTCATATACCCATGCATTTGAAAGGCAATGAACCACAGGTGGGTACAAATGTTATTGCCTGCTGCTGATCTTCCTCCTAATGTTCCCTCCAATGAACCACAGTGAAGTGTCTTTGCTCAGAGCAGCTGAACACTGGCAAAAACAACTAGACTCTAAACAGTGTCAAAATCAGGGGGTTCTGATTGAGAGTATATGTCTGCTGCTGCATGGAAACAGTGACAGACCAGACTATCTTTACTGACCTTGACTTTTACTTGCACTATTATAGCCTCCAAAATAAAGTTCATTGGTCCTGCCGTGATCGGGTTGCAGTGGACATTTTGAAAGATTCCCCAGTGTGTTTGGGTGTCTGCTTCTCTCTCTACAGAGACTTGACAGACCAGGTTTCTCTGGCTGCTGAGTCAGTGGACAACACAACTGACAGAGAGAGAGAAGCTCAAACAAAGGTTGGACAACTATACTCAGTAAAAGCTGTCTCAATGTTCACAAGCTTATTTGTACTGCAGCAGCCTGTCAAATATGAATTCCTTTTTATACTTTATGAATCTCTGCAGCTGTATTGTACCTTGCCTTGTGTATAATCCTGGTTGCAGCAGATTTGTATTGTTCTGTTAGTGTCCACAGGTTGAGCGGCTGCTCCACAATACTGCTGTTTTCAATCAGAGGAAGGCCAACTTTGGAGTAACAGCCTTCATGTGCGCTCCTCTTCGACCTTGAACATGAGAATACCAGAGCATAATAACATACACATAATGGCATGTAAATAAATGATATGAGTGTGGGTGTGTATTTGTGTAAGTAAGGCTGTCAAGTGGTGGAAGGGTTTGGGATTAGTTAGGGAGGTGTAGGGATTTAGAGTATGGTCTAATCAGAAAGGTAGTAAATTAAACTTCCTAACCTACATGTGCACTCACACTCACTCTTCCTCGGTTTTTCCATAGATATGAAACTTTTACATCCTACACTTACGTTTCAATATTTCATGGTCTTGAAAAGTGCAGGGAAAAAAACCCCCACCATGGACAGAGGTAAACAGAACTGGTGAATTTGAATGTCAAATTCTAATACTTCTCAGCTACATCCATTTATAGTATTTTCTACCATTACTTATATTCCTATCAAACACATAAACTTTTTTTGTGTTTTGCAATTCCCCTGGTAAAAATGTCATGCACTCAGTCTTCATTGTTTGAGAAATGTACATACAGAAACAAGTATGCACTTGAATGTCTAACAGAACAACATTTGTATATAGAGCAAATTCAGTTTCATATTTGTTTGAGTAGGAGCACAGAGCCAGACCTGAATACCTGAGGTCCAGGTGTGTCACACGGAAGACACTGGGGCAGGTTATATCCCGGTATGTCAGTACAGCCCATGTCGTTACTGTATGGGATACCGAAGTAGTAGTCAAAACCTGTCCAGCAAACAAAGACAAATGCAAATTCTGTAAGTGCTGATGAGGTTCAGTTAGAAAGGACTAAGATCGATGTCGTTACTTAAACATCATAGCTTGGAGCTGTGTCTCTGCATAAAACAGGAGGAAATGAATTTCACTCGGAAGGCATAATGCGCACGCCGTGAGCTTCACGCAGCCCCTCTACGATCACGGCATTCTCACAAGACACAGCTGCAGGGAGTTGATTATTTGGGCTGTTTTGTCTGTTCCCTGCGGCGAGGCCGATGGGACTCAAAGTGGCTGGAAAAGTCTGGAAAGACTGAATGACACCATAGCTCTGAACTGGAAAGCTGCTGCGCAATAGAAACGTAAGTATATGTGCATGTGTTTTAGCTCCTATCTCAGTTTAATGTGTCATGTGCATCCTTCAACTGATTAATGGAATTAAATGATTATATGTTGTATTTGAATCAGCAATTCCTCTGTTGCTGATTGAATTTGTTGGTAGTGTGTGTACATATAATCCATACATAATCTAATCTTATTTACACCTCACTCTTCTATGAATGATCGCGTTTCAGCTCGTGGCTGTAGCAGTTTCCTCATCTGGGTTACTGAGGTATAGATAACTTTATTTGTCTCTTATGTTTACAAAAGGTTGTTTGTTTGCACTGTAGGTTTACCAAAGGACACCAGAAGAGGCAACAGAAGCAGCACATCAACATTAAATGGATTTTTTAATTTGTCCATTCTTGTACAGGTAAAGAAACATTCATACCCGAAACCAATCTCTATATTTTTGCTTTCGCTTGAAAAGAAGAGAGATTTTTTTCTTTCCTTGTGCAATGTTTGAACAAAGTTTAACCAAAATTCACACAAAATCTTTCAGAAATGAGGCTGTGACGTTCTGCTGGGTCCCGACAGATTCAAGCTCCCACTTACCTCTGTTAGCTGGACCATATGGTCCGTTGTGGCCCAGATGCCATTTCCCGATCATGGCGGTGTAGTATCCCGCCTTCTGTAGTAGCTGGGGCAATGTCACCTCAGAGACAGGCAGGCCCGCCACAGAGCCCACTGCAAAGTTATGTGTCACCCCGTTTCTTAGGCCGTAGCGGCCTGTCAGGATGGCAGCACGGGACGGGGAGCAGGTTGAGGCTGGGGAATGGAAATCTGTTAATCTAGAAAAAAGAACAATGTTTTTTATGGAGAAATGACACTCTACCTCGTCGACAGGAGGATATAGTATCTAAAATATCTTGTTATTCATATATAACCTTTTCTGTGCCGTCTCACTCGTCATAGACTGAAATACCATGAAACACCAACATAACCAGCTTTCATTACCTTAATGCTTTCACTTAAAAAGTGAAGGTATCACAGATCCAGTCAGTTAATAGGATTTACATAAGACGCTGATGATATGACATGGAAACATGATATGATATTTAATAAATTCTCTACTTTAGTCCTTGCTCGGCCATCAGGTTGAGGTAAGGTGTGTTGTTTGTCTTCTCTTCAGGCCGGTTAGCATCCAGGTCACCCCAGCCTATATCATCTGCCAGTATGATGATAAAATTGGGCCTCTTACTGCCATTATCAACCCTGGCTCCATGTTGAGACATCGTGTGGAGCAGCAGTCCACACAGCAGCATCCCAGTCAGAAGAAACAGGGAGAAAGCCTCGGCCATTTTGGGTCAAAACCTGCCAAGTATCACATAGGTTTGAAGGGAGACCCGGTCAACTTGTAATACAAACTGACATCTGTGAAACATTTCTGTTTGATTTCTCAGCTCACTTTCGGTATTTAAAGACATTAAAACTATATTCAACCTGCTAAAGGAAGGGGTAGAGGGTAAATGTTGTTTGCACCTGAAACCAAATTGGCTCACATGATAAACAGCAACAGCCATTTACCTCACCAACTAGCTCTATGTGTAACGTATACATAAAGAAATGATGAGGTAAAAGTTTGAGGTCAGATTGATCTCCTGAATGCTAAACTGTACCAGAGCCAGAAGTGCAGTTATACTGGACGTTTCTATTGGAGAAATGCACAAAGCAACTCCAAACAGAACGAAGTGACCACACAACTCAAAATACATGTTACAGTAATCATTTAGAAACCTTTCAGTAGTAAATCAAATTTCTTAAATGCCCTGTAAACAAGAAACATGGTTCTTGATCGAGTTTAAATATTGATCAAACTAAACAGCATTCATAGTTGGAAGACAAAACAAAAAAGTGAATAATTCATTGGGAGTTGATGGTCCCATTAGATGTGACAGAGGTGAGTGTCATTCCACCAGACTGTGGTAGAATATTTAGGTGTGGGGAGGTTGTGGAGTTGGTGAATTGGACAGTAAACGATGGCCGAATAGAAGTATCTCTGCCACATCATGTCGAAGTACAATCACTTGAAAAGGGGAAAGAAAAAAAAACATACTGTACGATCAAAAGTCACTGCATAATGAGGATTGTTAAAGTGCAATAACCTGTAGAACTGACGCCAAACAGAGCGCATTAACATTAATTACACTAATTATATGTAGAAATTGTGTTTTGTGAAATGTTATGACAATTAATAATTAATTTCTCTTTTCTCACAGCACACCAAGTCTGTGTCCAAACCCCCCCCCCCCCCCCCGCACACACACACACACACAGTAAAAGGGAGCAGTGAGGGGTCTGCAGACGGATATGGGGGGAGGACTGGCTGTAACCAGATTCCCTTTATCCTGCTTTTCCCTGTGGGTGTCTGTTGGGAGGGAGGGAGGGTGTTCATGAAAGCCAGCTTGTGTCGGGCAGCGCTCGCTGTGGAGTCTCCATGTGAGCGTATGTTTGTGTTCGTATACACGTAAAAAAAAAAAAAAAATGTGTACGGAGAGCTCAACCGTTAATTGACTGAAGTAGCGCGCGACACAAACGGGATTACAGGAGCGACAGTGAGGAGCGAACAAAGGAACCGTCAGAAACTAGCTACACACAGGTGAGCCACACTACTGGAGCACCAACTGTCTCATTATAAACGAGTATCTTTGCTCTAGTTAAAGTCCTGTTTTGGCGGGGCTTACGTTCAACGTGTCTTGAATTAAATGTGTAGCTCAAACAGGCGACTTAAAGTACTTACGAGGTATTTGAGAGCAGTTATTAAAGTGGCATACCGACCACGTGAGCTGCCGTTAGACTAATGGTTGCGTCAGCCGCGAGGACGGAACCATATAGTTCCGGGCCATATGGTTCCGGGCCAAAATATTACCACTCACTCCCTCCACTGTTAATGAAAAAAATAAAGGTAACACATTGTCAATTTTAAAACAAATTCGTTATTTTAAAATTAACATGAACAAATTAAAAAATTTAACAATGACTGGCAGTGACTTCCAACCCCAAACATCCGGTTATATTAGACGTCAAGGATCGCTTTTGCGTTTTCCTTATTACACTAAAGGGAATGGTATGATGGAATTTAAAAATACTGTGATAATAATTGCTTTCAATGAAAACACTTTTTTTGCAAACCAAAACGTTTTTTGTTGTTGGATACACAAAAAAAGTATAGTTATTGAAAATCTTACTGTCAGTTCATATCTTAATTATCATTAAGACTTAAATGTGCTGTGCAAATGTAACTAGTATTCAAATTGCATTAGTACACTAATTACAGGCATTTGTCCACGGCAACTATTTTGCTTGTACATATATAAATATAGGTGTGCATGACACACTTTTGCCTTGTCAGCACAGCGATTTACAAAATACAGCTCTACTAGATGCTAAAGTGACACAATACCATACAGAGCAGTTGTATTTGTGTAAACAGCAGGTTTAAGTAGACAGTAGTGCTTTTGTTCCATTGTATGGCATGCAATATGAGAAGTCAGTAGCTGAAATAAAGGGTTTACGCTATGCTTAACATAACAGCACAGCTGCTATGAAGCCACCATCTATTGCGAAATTTGACAAAACTAGGGGGGAATATTACACAACACGTTTCTATCTCTGTACAACTATGAGGTCAAACAAAATACACTGTAGCTAATAAAACCAAACCTAGGTAGGTTGAGCCACTTGGGAAACTCTATACAGAATCCATCATGTATCCAGGTGTAGAAATGATCATTTGTTGATTCAAGCAGTGTTGCACAAGGGAAAGACGTCAAACTAGATAGAAAACTGTGATTTTAAGTAGTAGTTTAATGGTGTGAAAGGCACCATGATGAGCACCAGGATTTAAATGGATGAGGATTTATTTTATACTAAAAGCTGTAAAAGCTATGCACTCTTAACTTCAGTACAACTTGAGTGGCTCAGACTGGAACACCCTGCTGTGTTTCAGTAAGCATCAGTTATGCAGAAGAAGAAAAAGCATAGCTGCAAACGGGATAGTATGTGTTACCCGGTCACCCTGCTTACTGAAAAGACTCTAAAGCAAAAGAGCTGACGGACAGAAACTCTGAATAAAACAATTGCTGTAATTATTGATTAGGACCTTGGCCTTGTCCTCGACTCTGTGTCTGCAAATGTCTTAAGAATATATTTTCTGTTTATGTGAGACAGAAATATTGTTTTGATGTGCAGCCACTCACTGTGAGTCCTAGTGAGTCCTTACTTTGCCAATCACTAAAAATACCATTTCTTTTAACAGTCATGGCACTGTGTGGAGCCAAGGGACTGCGTTTCTTGGGGCCCAACGTGTACCCAGAGGCTCCTGATGGAGGCTGGGGATGGGTGGTGGCTGTGGCCTTCTTCTTGGTGGAGGTTTTCACTTATGGCACCATCAAGATCTTTGGCATCTTCCTCCAGGACCTGATGGAGGAATTTGAAGAGACCAACAGTCGAGTCTCCTGGATTGTTTCCATCTGCGTGTTTGTGATGACTTTCAATGGTGAGTACAACAAGGGTGAGCAACCCTGCAAAAACAAAGTAGAGACTATAGACTGAAATGACAATGAAATTGATGGACTTAATGTACCACTGTCTACTCTTAACACCAGTTTGTCCACCATTGTTGCTCAGGGCCTCTCTCCTCTGTGATGACAAACCGCTTTGGGTTCCAACTTGTTGTCATGATTGGAGGATTGCTTATTTCCACGGGTACCATCGCCACCAGCTTTACCAGCTCCATCAATCAAATGTACATCACCTATGGATTAGTTGCAGGTATGTAATTGATTTGTTGTTCCTTTGTCTCCCCTTTTGAACATCACATAGTGCTATTATGTGCTGTGCTTGTCTATCTGAATTAGATCTTAAAAACTTGCATCTTTTCTGCTGCACAGGTCTGGGCTACTGTCTGACCTTCCTTCCCACTGTGACCATCCTTTCCAAATACTTCAGTCGTCGACGGGCTCTGGTCACAGCCGTGGCTTCCACGGGAGAGTCCCTGTCCATGTTTGCCCTGGCGCCAGGTGTGTGCAAGAGCTATACATTTAGACAAGTGTGAGGTTAGGGTTCAGGAAAACGGTCTATTGTAATGTGCATTCTTCAGATGAAGGATGAGGAGTAAAGTTTGACCTATCTTAAAGGATAAATCTGCTTATACTCTATATTAGTTAGTTTTATTGATGAACACTCACTGATTAACTCCTCTTGACTCTTAGCCTTTTCTGCACTGAGGGACCATATTGGCTGGCGACGTACCATGGCAGTGATAGGAGCTTTGCAGAGCTCCATCATCATCTGTGGCGCTCTGCTTCGGCCAATCATTTTAAAACCCAGAGCGTCCCACGACACAGAGACTGACAGATTGTCCTCAAGGGAACTGGATGTCCTCAGTGCACAGGAGAATGTAGAGGACATAAATCCAGAGGACTCTATGACGAACAAGACCTCACATGCACCAAATACCTCATCCAGTCTGGACAATGAGCCAGCCAGAGGCTCTTTGAGCACTGGAGACTCCGGTGTTCAGTCTCTAAAGGACACAGATGACAACAGCCCAGAGGAGAAGACTTTACTGCACAAAGAAGCAAGTTCAGAGACGGAGCAGAAATTTGCGGAAAGCAGTAAGGCAGAGATTAGAGAACCTGAAACTGAGGAGGGGAAAAAGAAGAAAGACGCAGAGAAACAAGGAATGAAAGATGAGGACAATAAATTGCGGGATGAAAGTTTATCTGCAAAGAATTCAAAACTTCTAGATTTCTCCATCCTCAGAGAGTGCAGCTTCATTTTATATTCTCTGTTCGGGCTGTTTGCCACACTCGGCTTCTTCGCCCCTCAACTCTACATCATTGAGCTGAGTGTGAGTCGCGGCGTGGAGCGGGACAGTGCCACCTACATGCTCTCCACCATGGCTGTGGCTGAAATCTTAGGTCGATTCTCCATTGGATGGATACTGACACGTAAGCAGTTCAGGAAGAAGAAACTGCTTGTTCTTCTGGCATGTGTAATCATAATGACTGTGGATCTGGTGGGATTTACTTTGGTTACGGAGTTCTATGGCCTGGCTGTGTGCTGCGCTTTGTATGGCTTCTTTATGGGGACACTAGCATGCACCCACATCCCCATGCTGGCTGAGGATGATGTGGTGGGCATAGATAGGATGTCTTCGGCTGCTGGGGTCTACGTGTTCATACATAGCTTTGCTGGCCTGGCTGGACCCCCACTTGGAGGTAAGAGTTTTGTTTTAATCACAAGTTTATCTTCTGATCACACACAGATGCTTATTTAATGATGACAAAAATGTAATTTTGATCATATTAACGCCGTGTTTCCTACTTGACTGTATCTTGGTACAATGAACATACTGTACAATCAGAGCTGAAAGAGTGACAGAGGGAGAAAGAAATGCAGACAATGACTTTAAGCACAGCCGCAGGAGGTTTGTAGGGCTTTGTAATGAAATAGCTGTTGTGCTGTGTACTCCATCATTTTAGTTTTGCACTTCTGTTAATTTGAAGGACTCTCAAGAGACAAGATTCAAACAGAAAAGTTGGTGCAGCAGAGAACGAAACACCTTGATTTTTAGTCCTTACTATGGGCTAAGCTCTGATACCACTGGATCCTACATCTCCCATAATGCAACTTGAAAGTGTCTCTCTTTAGACCCTCTCTGTGCATATCTTGCAAACACCATACCTTGAGTTTGTAATGCAGGCCTCGGGTAAAAAAAATGTTGTCTCCAAGCCCATGCTTAGATGACTCTGATGACATCACTATGACATTGTCAGGGTTATTTTCTCATTCCCTTAAAAAGCTCCCTAAAGAGTCAAAGACATTATACAACTGTTGAGTTGAGCAAACTGAACTTGATTTGTAAAGTTGCTGGACTGCCCCTCTAATGCTTCCTTTTACCTCTCCTCTATCCCCAGGTGTGCTGGTGGATGTCACTCAGAACTACGGATCAGCCTTCTACTCGTGCGCAATCGGCATGGCTCTGAGTGCCGTGTTCCTCGGTTTGGTAAAACCTGCTAAGAGAGGATTACTCTGTAGGAAGAGAAACTCAAAACAACATGAAGACATAGATGAAAGGAATGAGGACTCAGAGGAACAGAGTGGAGAGCATAACCTGGACAAAACTGACGGTCCTCATGATTGCGCTAAAGCAGAAGTCATCTTGGATCACAACCATGCAGGAGCCACAAGAGATGTCCAGGAGGTTATACGATTTGCTTGAGTTGATAACGCAGGATAAGGGTAATAAAAGGGTCAAGCCACACAGGGGATAAGAAGCTATTGAAAGACTACTGCTACCAGAGAGCTGAAGTGACACGAATACGATGAAGAAGAAGACCATTATTAAGTGTTTAACATATGCCTCTGTAGATCTGGTTTTCTGAGAGCAATCTTGGGAACCTTTGGATCACAATATGTATGTAGCACTCATGCCTTACATACCCAATGTACCAAACAGTGTTTTTACCAGAATCAGTACTGTTAAAATTAAAAAGAGTGACTAACTTTTAATGTCATCCTGTTTTAACAGACAGTGGTATGAAATATTGCTGGAAGGTATGGACCTGTTCAAAATGGACCACGAGTGATGCAGTGTCTTAATGGAGGTGCCTTTAGATGTTCCAGAGAGAAGACGCACCGATTTAACACTGATAAACTAATTACCGACTGGCGATCAATACTGTAATGAAAGCCAGAAAAACTGTGAACCAAATGTAGCTGCACGAACACTAAATTGCACAGATTCTGTAACACTTGTTATAGAGAATGCATAAAGCTCAGGAGTACGTGATTAAAACTTTATTTTTAATCAAACTGTCGCCAAGCTGACAATGCACTGTGATATGAGATGTCAGACTCAAGCTATTTTTGTAATGAAAATGTGTTCAATCACAATAAAGAAACAGTGATTTGAGCCTGTGAATTATGACTAATGGTTTCTTTTTGTAAACCTTTACCTGGAAGAAACTGTTCACTGCAAAATATAATGAAGAAGAACGGATGCACTACAATAAGTTTCCACATATTAAAATACATGAACCTCAGAACTAATAGAAACTCAAACAGAAAGCTAAAAGGTGAGTTACTTGATTGGAACAAATATTTAAAGAGGATGAAAAGTCTACCAACCCAGCTCACCCCATGTTGATACAATATTCTAAATATATAATATCATATTAATAAAAGATATGTCATGTACATATAGCATCCTTAATTATCAATAATAAATATATTAAACTGAACCATTTTTATTCATTCATTCTGGAACCACAGGCGCACATAACATTTTTTAACCAGTACATCTCAATATATACTTTATGATGTCAATATGTGGAGTCTCTGCTTCCATATACTGTACATTACTGTGGGTAGCCAATACCTGTGAGGCAAAATATAAGGAGTGTGCCCTGTGGTCGGGTGTAACAGTCATAAACAACAAGATTCTGTTTTGTATCAAACAGCAGCATGAATCTTCAACACAGGACAAGAGAGCTACATGCATTTTGATGTCCCCGTCTTCTCTGTTATCTCCAGATCATATCCACATATACAGGAAAATACTATAATTCACCTTTTTTCCAGTATGTCCAGGCACCTGCAGAGCCAAAGTTTGGATGCATGAAAGGCTCCGGTGGGTTTGGGAAGGTAGAGTGCAGACTGATGAGCAACCGCCTCCTCTGCTCTGGGTGTTTGTCTTTGATCCTCCTCCATCCAGTGCAATAAGGCCTAATAAACACAGATAAACATTCATTCAGTTCACTCAAAAAATCTGAAGTGCATCTGATTGTGTCTATGCATTTTGTTAAAACGGATCTTTTGGTCAGCCTGGATCACAAGGTGCAGAGAAATTTCTCCAGTTCTCAAAGACTTTCTTTGTTACATTCAAGAGCATCTGCGACTAACGAGGTTACGTGCTTCCAATTTGAGTAGATTATTCTTACATTATTGCATTAGTGTGGAATTTGACTTCTATCTCGTGACTCAGAAAAACAAGAAGCTTCTTTGTAAACAAGAGTACGTGTTGCAACAAGCTACTTCTGGGTATTGATGTTGCCACAGTAACAGGTATCGCTAATGTGTAAAACAAAAGAAATTCTACGAAAAATAGCTGTTATACTACTTACTGTTATACTTACTGGAACTGAAATATATACAATAAAGGTTAAAAACCAATTAGTCATTGTGAAAGAGTCAGATTTAGTGTGAGACATCTACAAGCTGAGCACACTCAAGTTAAAACTCAGTCTGCGTTAAAGACTTCATGTGAACTCAGGCATGTCGGCCGCCAAGAACACTCTCAGTGTAGAGCATAGATGCTGCTAGAAAGTGGGTTGAGAAAATCAGGATTACTTAGGCATGTGACACAGACTAAAGTCAGTGACCCAGCACCGAGTAAGTGAGCAACCAAATGAACTTGTACTGCTCTTCTAAAGAGTACATCACGAGTATATACTTTTCGATTCTGTACTACAGGATTTACTCTGTATTAGAGTCAGATTAAGCATAATCTCCTGTTGAACTTCTGCCAATTAATGTTATGAAGGTGTTATCTTCACGAGGACATAATTATGCTTTTTTCATCATGAGACCTGAGCAAAACTGTACTCAAAGTTAATATACTGTAAGAAGACTTAAGTAGAAAACTCAAGAACAAGGGACTATCATATTATCTTTGTTATATTGTATTTTTTTCTATGAATTCTTTTTTTACCTTGTATCTTTCACCTATTTTGAAGCCGACTGAAACCTGAAGCTTGCGAAGGCAGATGGGACAAAAATCCAGAGGCCTACGGTCAGACTCCTCTAGATGGTTGGAACCCTGCATGATACAGTTCAGCCACTGGCAATGCCTTATTCCAAACATATGGCCAATCTCATGCGTCATTGTCTGCAAAGAAATATTTCACATTAGGGTTTTCTTGAAAATAACACAATAGAAACAAGCACAGACATAAAATGGTTAATTCAGCAGTTTTTGTCTTTTAATCAGCAGTACTGGTAAAAGTAGAGGGTTGGATGACCTTTGGCAAGACCACTCAAAAGTGAGTGCGTGGAAGAGCATGTTTGCTAGAAACCTTGCATGATCGAAGCAGCAGAGTGCTGGAGATGGGGGGAGTGTAATATCCGTCAAACACAGAGTAGTCCCCCTGCTTCGGCTGAAGCCGTTTCCTCAGCCTCTCCGCATAATCTCTGCTGTAGAAGCTGTCATCATACCTGGCGAAGCTGAAAACACCCATTCCTGTGCATAGTTAAAAAAGAACAATGAGGCTATAAGGAACTGAAACTCTCCTATATGTATTTCACTTGGGCACCATCTAGTGGTGCTACAACCACATTACATCATCAGAGACAGTACTGATGATCATAAATATATGTATGATTCACATTGACAAAATATCCTTAAACTGTGAAGCATTGTTTACTCATTCTACTATTTGTGTGCATCCTTGACACATCAGAGTATTTTAGGGTATCAGATTTTCAGTATGTTGAGATACAGTGGCGGATAATTATTAAGTGTTGTCTGGCAGCTTCTATCATTAATAATCACAGAGAAAGTTATATTTTCTTACATAAAGCTTTGAGGTAAAATCTCACCCATGCTGAGAGAAGCCTGTCCAAAGACAAAGTTCCAGGAGTCCTTGGGGTACAGGTCAATCATTGTGATTCCAACAATACAAAAAGCATCTTTTGGTTTCTTGTTGCCCAGAAATCGTAGCAGGTCACCTAAATTTCAAGAGAAAAGCACAATGACAAAGCAATATCATGGACAGTTGAGTTTGGGATCACTGTATTTTGCCACCAACACTCACACATTTATAAAAAACAAAAGAAAGAAGTGAAACTGCCAAACATACCAGTGAGGATCTGAAGGTTGTGTGTGTTACTGTTAACTCTGAAAGAGCATCCCGTTTCAGCCACAGTAACTGCTGGGAGCAACTTCACAGAAAGTCCATAGAAGAAGGCCTGGCTATATTGTCTGAGCCACTCCACATACTGGTCTGTTTGGACCCCTGCCTCTCCAAAGGAACCTACAAGAAACATAGGGAAGAAATAAGGCCAAACAACCATGTGACCTGCTGCACATAGAGTCCAAAAAAACCACTGTATACCATACTGTACATGCCTCATCCATCTGTATAGCCCACAGTATCATTTGAATGTAATTTCTCCCATGTCTTGGTCATTGAGATCATCATCATCTTTGCTCAATGGTTTTGCATTATTACTGGCACTGAGAAACAGTAAATATACTCATGCTTACATTCCCTTTTATATGTTTGGTGCTAATGGCCATCTATTTTCATCATCTATTTTCCCAAACACACTCCACAAGGGTGAAGAAAACAGAGGTACTAACTCTAGTAGACACAAACATACTTACCTATGGTTTGAATATAAATAGTGTTGTGACTCGCATTGGGAGTCTTCCGGTAAGGGTCTCTGTAGAAGCTCTCAAAGTCTTGAGGCTCCTCAGGGTGAGCAGGGATCCAGTCTGAGTCAGAGTGCACTGTGATGGGTTGGAAAAGGGAACCTGGCTCCCCGGGGTGGAATCCTTCCTCTAGAAGACACCTTTCTTCTTTTGTGTACTCTCTGTAAACTTTAGCCAAGCCCTGATGATCAGAGACCAAAGCTGTTTGCAGTGTCTGTGCAGAGTGCTGGATCACCTTCATCTGCAGCAGAGATATACCCCATTAACATTAGATGAAGTCAAGGTGAAAATTTACAACATGGCTTTGATATCCCGTATTTTTGTTCCATGCTGCAGTTCGAGTACCTTGCCCATATAGCCATCTATTGATGCTTATTATAAACTGTGTTTAAAAATGAAAACTGTTAGAAATAGTAGAATACCAGAGGTACTTGTAGACAAAACATATTTATTATATAGCATTATATTGCTAAATCTACATCCATTACAACCTATGAACCCAAATGATCATACATGTGTACACACGAAGTGCAGGTAGATATAAAGAGTAAAAACCTGCCTGGTCAGACACTGGAGATGTAGTTCACATATAGCTTAATGCTAATGCTACATGAAATTACAAATGAAATTTCTAACATCCGGTTAGCATACAACACGTTGCCTTCCGTTCGACATTGGAGTAGACTGTCCTCGACACCCTATCAAAACCTCTCTTTTGTGACAAATTAATTCGCTTATTCGTAATGGGAAAAAGTAAAAAAAAAAAAAAATAAGAAGATATTACGGTCCAGTGAAGGTGCACAGTTCACCCCTGGATGTTCACTGTGTTGTTGACGGAAGCCGTTTCCGCTTTGACGTCATGTAAACAGAGAGGCGGAGCTCTTCACTTCAGGCAACACCGACACTGACGACCAGCGAAGAGAAGCCCGCTGCTATGGCACACCTAACCACACTGGGGTATTGGTAAACTTACTTCGGACAACTTTAAAATGTAATACATTCTTAGCCCTACTTATTTACTGTCTTGTATCTGACTGCTATAAAGTACAGGCAACAGTTAACCACAATTAACGGCGAGTGAACGGAATACGAAAGCGGAAGAACTTTCCGTTAGCATACTGCAGCAGTAGTTAGCTAAAGTAGTTAGCTTGACAAGTAGCTGACATAACGTCGCACGGTAGCAGCTAGCAGGCTAGTCTGCTGCCTTTGCTGTCATGCCTGGAGTTCCTCGAGATTTCACTGCGTAAACGAGAATGCCTAGCAGTTAGCTGGTTAGCTTTCAGACGTCCAGAAGCAGTTTGTACTACCGGCTAGGCGTAGGCAGGGCGGACTGGACTCGGAACAGTGACAGGGCTGAACTAACCCACAGCTGAGATTTGTGCTTTAGCCGGCTGGAGATAGCTCACATACACATACGTCCTGGACTTCCTGATGAGATGAGAGGGGGCTTGCCATACTGAGTTTATCAGCGAAATGGCCGTGGAGCTGTAACCCAGCCAAAGCTTTGAAATAAGACATCTCGACCCGGCCTACAAGGAGTGTCAACCTTTCTCTTTGCCAAAAAAGACCCCATCCGTCAAGACTGCAGACATGCTGACTGACAACAGGTAACACGAAGAACCATTTTCACACATCTTGCTCAGTAATACAGACCCATCATCGTAATGCATCACCGTAGTTAGATCATTTTACTACAATATCCTTGACAATTCAATGTGACAATGCAGTGTCAATACATACATATTCTGTACATCAAAGCTCTACATAGACTCCAATCAAGTTATGTTAATCAGTTTGTTCTTATAATGGGAGTGCCACATGTCTGATCATGTAACTGCCTGTGAGTGTGTGCGTGTTGCTATTTTTGGTTCCTCTTCATGTTCTCTCTTTTTGATAGTCTCCCTCGCCTCCCCCCTTCCCCCCTCCCCCCTCCCTGTATCGTTTATTCCACACTACATCTTTAATTTTTATGTTCACTTTACCGTCGTGTGTGCCTAACAATACCCCCTTCCATTTCTGTTTTGCACAGGAAGCGACATCGTAGTTGTGACAGTGAGGAGGACCAACAGCTGAGTCCTCAGGCCAAGAGGTCAGGAGGGGGTCCCAGCCTGCTTGTGTCAGATTTGGACTCAGAGGTGAGACTGAATTGATCTTCAGACCATCACACACACAAAAGTTTACCCATAGTTCACCTGACTATGTAATGAAAGTCATCTTTTGGAAGAGGATAAATATTTCTGCTAAGGTTATGTATTCTCTTTCTCCAAGTGTAATGTAGAGTCCATTGACATTTGTGGATAGCGCAAGCAATGTGTAGTTATGCATATGCATATAAATAAATATGCAATGCACCACTGTCAGGAAAAGCTCTGAACGTTTTATTTAAAGCTTCTGCATCCATCCATGAAGCTGCTATTCAGAGCCCATCTCTGTTCCATGTTTACAGTCTTCCAGCAGTGACAGCAGTAATGGGATCAGTAGTCCAGAGAGAGCAATAGTGGTCACTACCAGGCCATGCATACACAGCCAGAACAACTGCATCAGCCAGTACTCCCTCAGTCCAAAGCTTGAAGACTCTGCCAGCTCCTTGCAGCATGGTTTCCATGGCAACGGCAGCAGTGTCTCCTACGACTACATCAACAGAGTCCTGAGGGAGGCGCACTTCAGCAGTCTGCAGACCAGAGGGCGTCCAGGCTCGACATGACTGTGACCTCTGACCCCCTCTCCTGACCTTTTGTCCTTCACCCATCAGTGCAGACACTACTGGCACGGTGGCTCCTCCTTGAAAGGCTCAAGCGACACACTCGGGTCAGGGGGAAAGGGATGATGTGTGGGGAGGTTTACAGATTTTGGGCACAAAGGCTCATCCCCACCTCGCCATGTACCATTTGTCAAGACCATAAGCACATCCGCCTTTCCATGGCCCAGCCACTGTGGTTTTCTGTGCAGTATTGATGTGTATGTGTGTTAGTGTGTGTGTGCACGCACCCTGTGCACTTTATAAAGAGGTATCATTCTCTTTACATGCGTGCATTGATGTGTGGACATTTTCATTGGTGCTAATCACAAGAAAAGTGTGATGATGATCCAAAGTGCTTGCAAGACTAAATAAAGCTAAGCACTTTACTCAGTAACTCCTCATTCTGTTTACTCTTGACTGGGGAAGTCAGTCGCGCATTTGTATCTGTGAAGTGGGAGTTGTCGTGATCCCATTCACAAAGTAAGTTGAAGGAGGCCAACAGATTGACTCCCAGGGAGCATTATTAAAACAATCGAGTTAAAAACATTTTTAGACCTTATGTGTTTTCTCTAACCAAAGTAATAAAGTTAGAGTAACTTGTATTTTGCAGTTACTTTCACTATTTAAATGACTGTAGAACATTTAGGTGTGGCAGGTCAGTAGGTTCAAGGTAATGGAACAGAGATTCTTCATGAGCCTCACCACCAAAATGCAACCTCAGATTGGACCCTGGCTAATTATAGAGCTGAGGGCAGGCACTGGAGTCTGCGGCTCTGGCAGCAGTATGCTCAGCACAGTGCGTCTAACAAAAACAAGCTCTTAAGAAAAGGCTCTCGAAAATAATTTAGAACCAGGTGTTTACTTCTTTAACATTTAACACATCATGTGTATGAGTGTGTCATAAGCCTATCAGCCATACTTGTTTATGGATGGTTTAATATGACCAGTACACTGTGTTGCAAATAAAATAAGAGGTGTGAAAGTGATAGTGATTCATATTTTGTGTAATGTTCCAAATCATTTGACATTGAAATAAAGTGTTACTGAAAGTGAAGTCTGCAACTGTCACTGAGAGAATCTAGAGTCTTGTTAAATACAGCACATCAAGGCTCATTTAAGTCGATGTTAGTGCTGTAACAAAAATACAGCATGTTTTATTGTCCTTCAGCACGTGCGACAGCATGGCTTGTATTCACTGAAACAAAACACAGTAGTGTTCATTGTCAGTACCAGTAGGTTGGATTAACATATGGGCATGTAGTTTGTACTACATTCCACATTACTCAACACCACAGTACAGTATGTAACTAAAATAATGGTGAGATGATATGGTAGTCTGCTTTTTATTTGGTGACATGAGCGACTTGCATTATGTTGATGGCAGATTCCATATTCCACACACATTGGCTGTGCACACAGACTATCTCAGTAATTAATTCCCCCATTAGTTCTCCTTACATTAGCTTTTTTAATCATAGACATGCACTCTACAACCATTCTCATGGGTGTGTTTGAATCAGTACAGGGTAGACATAATAAATAATTTAGTAAACTAACACTCGTAACATTTACACTGATATTATAGCTTAGTACCAAAAAATATGGAAGACAACTCTCCTTTGTAGTTTTTTGAGTTCATAAGAAAAGTAACTGTTGTGCAAATTACAAATCAAGGGATTTTCCCTCAGAGGTTCAGGGCGTGCTGCAGAGGCGTAAGAGTTGTTACCTAAAAGAAATCCTGAGATAAAGCAACCATCACTTAAAACCTGTAATTCAAGACAACCGTATTTGTGAAATACTTTTGAGAAATTCAACCTCAGCCTAAAGGACTACAGTTATGAGTCCTGAATCTCTTGTCTCTCAACCCAATATACTGCTGCTTAAGTGCAGCTTCCACGGAGGCACCACACTATACAAACAGACAACCCAAACATAATGGGAATCTCCCATCTATACAGTATAACCTTACAGGTCTGATCTTGGTTTATAAAATTAAATAGATTTTCTAAAAGGATTTATATGATGACATCATTGGTTCAAGTGGAACAGTTCCAGCTGTAAAAAGTTGGTCAAAATTTGAGAAATGAGAAGGCCGATACTGGTTGGCTGCTCTCAGTAGGAGCGTTCTCACTGGTTTTACTGGTGCCAGGGGGAGTTGAATGCACTGGATTGTCAGAGTTATGCACAGCTGGATTCTCTTTTAAATCATCGTCCATTGTGTCTGTTTCTGCCTGGGATGTTTCTCTTTCCCTGTCACACAACGGTCTCCCCTTGGTCACCAGCTCCATCCCGTTGAACAGAGACAATCTGCTCAGACAGGGCTGCTCACTCTGGGACTCAGAGGGAGGAGGGGAACCTCTGTTTCTGACATCTGGATCTTCAACAGCCAGTGTAACCTCAGCAGTCCTGACTGGCTCTGGTTGAATGGGAGCATGTTTCATCTCATCACAGTCATTCACCGGCTCCCCCGAGGAGTCTCTCTGGGCCAAGACCAGACTAGAAGGGGAAGATGTGTGATTTGGTAGTTGGCTGACACCTATGGGGGAAGCGTCAGGCTGATAATGATTGAGGTTGGTGCTGTCAGCAGACTGGGTTGGTAGTAAAGGGTCTGAGTATGTAGATATGGGAGGCTGATTAGTAGTTGCCTGGTGGCTACTGTTCGCAGTATCCTGCCTGGGAGTGTTCAAAGGTCCGCCCATCAGAGCCTCAAACTGTCGCAAAATCTGTTAGGAGGAGATAAGAGGAAAAGAAGAGAAGTTTTCTCTAGTTCTTTCCTATCAGTCTTCACCATGTGCAGTTTTGTTTTTCTGTCTCTTTTACCTTGGTGGCTTTGTTTGCCACCGGTCCTGGGGGCCCCTCACTCAGCTGATGAAGCCGTCTTTGTGTAGCTCCAAACATTTGCTCAAGAGAAAGCAGGTCAGAGGTCATGAGGCATGCGACAGCACATAGTGCTCGCTGCAGGTTTGGAGGAAAACAACATTTGTACATTACAGGATTGCATAATATCATAAAGAAAACCTGGGTTATTAGTGAAGCCTACTTATTATTACCATCTTAACAGTGTTTGAGGGATCTTGAAGCTTGCTTGACAGCAACTCCACCACAACCTCACAGTTAAGGATGGAGCACCTGACAGATTAGAAAACAGATTTTATGTCACTTATTTAAAAGTCAAAGACAACAGAGAAACAAGCAGAGAATTCAGGCCGAACGGCAATCTGATTTTAGATACACTCACTCTTTGATGAAGTGCTGGCTCTCCTCTCTGGACAGGAAGACTCTGGAGCCCTCTGTCAGTCTGCTGATGAGAGCCATCTCCTGGCCACAGTCCCCCAGCTGCAGGGCTTCAACCCTGAAGATCAGACAGCGTAAAACAGAGAAATGATAATAAATGTGGAAAAATTGAGAATATTTGTGTTATTTTATAATAACAGTAGTTGTTAAAGAAAAGTGACAATACTGGTAAAAAAGCTATTGTCTGAAATATGGAAACTGCATGGGCACCCAAAGATAAAACCACTGCCTATCAAATATCACTACATTGTGATTTAGCTGATAACTCCTCACACAACTTTAACAGGCTGACCTTGCCACTCACCGTTCTGATAGGTCGCCACTGCTCTCTCTACTGGCCCCCGATTGGCTCCCAGTACCGGCTGACTTGCTGCCCACAGAGGCTCTGCTGTTGGCCGCAATGTCCTGAGAAGAGTTGTGAGAGGAGCTGTTGCCGCTGTCGGTCTCTTCCCAGCCGCCTCCTACCTGCCCCGGGCACCACTGGGTCACTGCTGTGGTGAAGACACATGATAGTCTGGGGTGTCAACTGGAAGTCTCAATGCTGCAGTGCGACCCTGTCAGCGACTCATACACTGCGTTTGTGACATACTGTAAATATTTGAGATCGAAGTCTTATATTCATCCTAACTCCATGTTTCCATCACACCAACAATGTCTGACCTTTTGGTCTGCGAGCAGGCAGGTTATAGGCACACGCTGGCACGGCCACCTCGATGGGTGCAGACGGCGCCACTACGGCCCTGTAATGGTTGTCATGGAGACGGATGCCCTGGTGTTCAGTTGGCGGAAGGACAGCACTGGCTACTACCTCTGCAGCTTTCTGGATCTTATCCAATATTGAGTCACTACCTGCTGGGAAGCACAGGTACAGACATAAGCTCAATCTGATTTGCGTTCAGTGTGTGTGTGTGTGTGTGTGTGTGTGTGTGTGTGTGTGTGTGTGTGTGTGTGTGTGTGTGTGTGTGGTCATAGGCGCATCACTCACCTGTCCCCTGCTTCCCTGGACTGTATCCAAAGCCCTGCATTCCTGACCTGTGGGAAGTTGCTGAGCCCATACCTGAATAGAAAGACACAAAAGACCTATTGTACCATGGCTTTCAGCTCACAAAATACAATGACTGAGTATTGAATGTAACTAATTAAAGACATCTCTATCTTTCATACATTGCCACTCATGCTTGTTCATTACATGGTAACTGAGGTCACATCTATCAATGGCCAAATGATGTATAATATTATTACATATGACAGTAGGAATGGGTTCCAAAATCTCTCATCATTAAATCTACGGTCTCCTAAATATTAAATGTCCAGTTAAACTGGCACAGGTGTTTTCCCTTCTTGTGCTTAATTGGCCCTCTTCTCTGGACTGGATCTGGACATCACATAATCCCCAGTACAGCTGCAACTAACCATCTAATCTGTATCTAATTAGCCAGAATAAGTGAAAACACCTGTGAGTGTGTGCAGAGCCTTTAAGTTAAATACTGGTTTTGGATTCAATAAAATGATAAATAACTCTACATGATGATGTATGTATTTTAATGATGAGAGTGCTGTGTGTCAGTAAGTTTGTATTTTTATTGCTCACCCATTGTTGGGGGGGCTAGGTTAAGCGGGGAGATGCCACTTTTGGTGGAAATTGTATCTGTGAAAAGCAACCTGGCCACTTCCTGCAAACAGAAAAAGTCAAAAATTGAGTGTGTTGTCCTAGCTGACACACATATGTGATTGATATAATGATGAAATATATCCTGCGTCTCACCTGTGCTGTATTCCTCACTTTCTGGTATAATGCTGTGCCATGAATGGGATCAGGTGGACCACTATAAACTTGGAGAGTACAAATGCCCAGCAGCAAACAAAGTGAATATTCAGGTAACAGAGGAGCCACAGAGCAGCTGAGAGTTAAATGGAGCCAAAACCACCAATTTCTAACCTGATGCTTGCTGGATGAAAGTGGAGTTCCTTCTAAGTTCTGTGAGGAAATGGTTTGAACCATGGCCACAGAGATGGACAAAGATCTTGAGCACCTGAGAGACCAGAAGCAGGAGTGCAACAACAATTTACGTGCCACAGCTCTATATTGAAGTTTCAGTTTACAGGCAGAAATTTAGTGATACACTGGTCTCACCTTGAGTTTGACATGACAGGACTCAACTTGCAACCTCTCCAAAAGGTACTCCAACAAACACTGACCACAACCTGAAGACTCATGGGTGATTTCTAGAGTGAAGGTTAAGGATATCACCATAGCGTAAACAGTCTGTCTGATCTGGGCAACAGATTCCAATCAATTAATTTTGACTTAACAGTTGCAACTGGTTTAGTCAATTTAACTTGAATTGCCATTCTCCATTAGAGAACTCTGAGGTTTGCCATGTGACATTTCATTGAGAAAAAGGATTTCAACCCTTTGAAGCATAATCTACACCCTTTAACTTTCTCTTAATAAACCCCAAATTTGAGATAAGCTTTTTTTTTTGCAGATTCTAGATGATATCTGGACCCATTCAGCAGCTATCAGCTACAGCAATTTATTTGCATGAGTTGTGTGAGCCACATGTCACATTTATACCGCCCTCAGTAGTTACAGAGGCCAGCAGGGGCAGGGCTGCTGACTGAACCACAACACAAGCAGCCAAAGGATACTTCCAATCTCTTGGAAAAGGTAGCCAGGACAGGGGTTTTCATCATCTGCTGTAGCCTTCATCAGAGTCGGCACCTAAAATTGGTGAAAGAGATGATGAACAAATGACGCCTAGATCACACACGTTGTCAAATTTGGTTTCCCATAACATCTGCATAGTTAACAAACCATTTACCAGTTTGTTTGTTTGTTTAACGGTGAGCAAGGATTTAACATGGAAACCACCTCGACATCACAACAGCGCCTTGTTACCAGTTTAGTTTTCATCTATGTTGCATGGCTGTGTGCCGATTTAAAACTTTAACGAAACATCCTGGCATGTGCAGTGAAACATGACAAGCTATTATTACCAAATTTGTTTCTTCATGTTGTTAGCTAGCATGCTAATAGCAAGCTAAAGGTGGCACAACTTAACAGATTTAAACAGACACGTTAACGCTTCGTACGACTCGACATGCTCAGTTCAGCTGTTAATTGCCTTCTCAAGTAGCACTGACTGTAAATAACACTTACTTTCTGAAGAAAAGCTAGTCGTTCCATAAATGTTGCCATGATTTAGCAGTCCTGGCTGCGGGTTACTCATCTTCCTCCAGGGGCTACGATGGGAAGGCGGAGCTCGAGGTGACAGCTAGCCAATCACAGAAAAGTAAGTAGCAATCCCAAAGTCTATTGGCGTTCTGGTGACGCCCAAGGTCAAAAATCAGCGAATCAGCTTCAGGAAAGTTAGAGTTGACACTTTGATTGACAGGGCGATGAGCGAATCACACTCATGAATATTCTAGCTGGACGTTTCCTTGATGACAGGGTCAACAATATGGCGCTGTCTATAGTTTACAAGAATGCCGCATCTGCCCATTGATATGTATTTTTCAAGTTTGCCATTAAATTTGACAAACTGTGAAGCAGCGTCGGTGCCGGGATTATCGACTCCTGCGTATTGTGCTTTTCAGTTGACGTAAAAGACCTAAAAGGACTTCAGTGAACGCCCGAAGAGCACCATGTCTGGGTCAAACGTGTGGAGTCGCAATCGCGAGAAACTAAGACTTTTCCCCGACCTTCTTGCACAGTGTGCGGTAGAGGTGAGCAGCGTCACAGAGGAGCAGGGACATTTTAGCAGAAATAGCTCACTTCGCATTATAATTCAGTCGAGCTACCTGCTTAAGCCCCCAAACATGTCACTTACTAACTGACCGGGCGGCTCCAGTAGTTTGTTTAACTGTAAAATTATTATTATTTTTTTAATTATTCAACATGTATTAGTATATTATGGCGAAGGTTTTGCTTTGGGTGAATGGGTTCATCTTTACTGTCATTACACAATACAGGATTACGCAATGAAATCCCTCTATGATACACAAACAACACTATGAGTAAGTTGAAAAGTTAAATTAACATAGGATACAAATTACAGAAATAAAAATAGCAAACAAAGATACAAAAATAGAATAATAGTAAGAATGTAGTAACAAACAGGTAAACAAAAAAAATCGACAAAATAAACAAAAACAAGAGCAGAGTGCATGCAGTAGAGAAACAGAGAATTTTTTTATTTCATGTGTGAAATTTTCCTGTAAATCACTTTGTCACTCACTGTCTTGGATAGATTTCCGGGTCAGGGGACCTTGTATCTCACTTTGTTTTTCTTTGTCTAATATCAACTCCTGTGTGATTCAGGCAGCAGCATATGGCAAGTGTGTGGCAGCTACCACAACAGGCAGACAAGAGTTGCAGAAGGACCTGTGTGCCAAGGAGTTTGAAGCACTGAAGACCTGCTTTACAAACGCAGTAAGTGGCAAAGACAGTAATCCTCCTCCTGGTTTACTGTAGAGATGAATGATGCTCATCATTTAAACTATTATATTTTAATTACAGGCCAAGAAAAGAGCCAAATGAATGGAAACCGTCCTGGTTGTCTTAGAGGAGCAAATACAGTGGGGCAACCTCCAAACTGACTGTGGCAGAAGAAGTTCTTAGTGGCTTGTGATGCTGAAAGTTATGTGGGATTGCTGAAATGTGTATCATGTGTTGAAAAACCAATTGACTTTTTTTTTTTTTATAATAACTTTGTTGAAATGGAAAATGTACAAAGCCATGTATTTTTCGGCAGCACTGCCATTTCCTAGAATATGCGAGCTCCATTTAACTGTAATATAGAAATGTGAATAAAAATTGCTGATGTTATTAGTTTGTTTGAATAAAGACCAACAGCCTTGGTTGTACTATATCTTTTATTTATTCTTATCACCAAAATGTCCAGAAATACAATGCACATAGAAAAATAGTCAGAAAAATAGCCTCTTGTACAAAGCTAAGGTCCAACATGTGTTTAAGTGCCAACGGATGGAGGAATTTTAAGAAAAGTTGGATTACTAAAAATCACTACAAACATAATCCAGATTTCCTGAACACAATGTACATGTATATTAAAATTACTGTAGCATTTACAGTAAGAAGGGTCTTGTGCAAGAGAAAAGACCACAAATTGAGAAACTGCCACATTTTGTTTTGATAAACAATCATTACTGCAGCATATGGATTAGAAGGCACTAATAAATCAACAAGGAATAGATATTGAAGAAGGAATGATCATTAACTACAGTCGTAGATCCAGATGGTCTGGATCAAGCTGCTTCATGGTCCACAGTTTATCAAGCAGTAAGGCTACGCTGTACACCTCGCAGCTCCAGCATGAGGTTGAATTCAGTGACTTTCATTTGAAAGTATAAAGAAACCACTTATGAAAGGGCCTGAATCCAAATCACATCCAATATCTAGTAATTGTAGGTTCAAAGAGATCCTACACATTGATCACAATTAGACATTTCAGATTTACAATATTTACATCTCAGAGTAAAAGAAACACACAAACTGTCCTGAACTTTAAACAAAAACTCAACACAATAAAGCACAAACATCGATCGTGCAGAAAGGCAGAGTCCGCAGGTGAGTAAAAAAAATGAATTAAAGTGACTCGCATACAAACATTATTTTTTGCCCTGTCAAAACACTCCATATAATGCTATTTGCATAGATTTATATACATTTCAACAATAACTATATCCATAATTTTCTGCCACAAGACAAAAATAAGTTAATATTTACATACACTTTGCTCTTTAATAAAGACTTTGGGTTATTTCCAGAGTACACAGTATCAAGAAAGAGAAAACGTTCCTCTTTGTCCTTGAAGGCAAGAGAATGTAAGGCAACAATATCATGATCCATAGTATTAGGAGGTCCTGCAGGTGTACAATGTGTGTGAACTTGCTGTCTGACCATTAAATGAGACTCTGTGTGTGTGTGTCTGATGTGTGTTATTTCGCTCGCTCATCCTCTGAGGCCTGTTTAATCTGCCGTGAGTGCACCATAGCCCCGGCCATTAGCTGCTCCTCCAGGGCCACGTGCAGGTCTGAGCCCCCCAGCTCCAGCAGGGGCTCCAGCCCAGGCACTCCCCTGGACCCCCCGGTCTCCTCTGGGGGGCCTCCAGCCTCTTTAGGTCCCACTGCCCTGCGCCTCCGCCTCAGATCCATATCCCCCTGGTCCCTGACCTTCTCGTGGGAGCCCTGGGGGTGAGCATCGGCTTTGACAGCCCTGTCTTCCACACCTTCTCCGGGGTCTGCCTGAGCAGCAACTTTCTCTTTGAGGTCTCGTCCTCCTTTCTTCAAAGCTTCGCCGGCTTCTCTCTCAGCCCCCTGCGCAGCCTTTTCAGCTTTTTGGGCTTCTACAGCTCGCTCCATTTGGGCCAGCCTCTCCCGAGCCTCCTCTGCCTCCTTTTCTTTCCTCGCTCTCTCAAGTATTTCATTGTCTGCTTTCTGCATCTCCTGCTGGAATCTCTCTTGTGCAGCTTTCTGCTGTGCGAGTTTCTCTCTTTCTACTCTCTCTCTCTCCAACTCCTGTTCTCTGGCCAGCTTATCCTTTCTCTCCCTCTCCAGTCGTTCTTTCTCCACCCTTGCCTGCACTTCTTTCTCTATCCTCTCATTCTCCAACTCCTGCTCTCTGGCCATCTTTTCCTTTAGCTCCTTCTCAAGTTGTTCTCTTTGTAGTATTGCCTGAACCTCTTTCTCTATCTGTTTAACATTTTCCTTAACTAGGTTCCTTTTTTCATCTTTAACTTGAGCTGCCTGATCATTTTGAGGCACAGGCTGGTGGTCATCGGGTCTCTTCTTTCCCAGTGGCACCCCCCTCGCCCCCAGCTCATTCTGTTTATGAGATTCTCCTGCAGGTGCAACATGGACATCCTCCTTGTAAGCAGCTGGAACAGCTATTTTGGGTTCCCCGGCTTCAGCAACCTTATCCCCAGCCAGAGCTTGTTTCTGGGGCACAGCGGGAGGCCCAACCCCTCCAACCTGTGGAGCTCCGGCTCCAGCTCCAGCTCCGGCTCCAGCTCCAGCTCCGGCTTCGGCTCCTTCTCCAGCTCCAGCTGCCTCCTTGTGCTGCTTCTGGTCTGAGGCCAGTCCAGAGTCTTTGGGCTTGGGTGCTCCACCTTCCATCCCCTCCAAGTGCTCCTGGCCTTTCTCTGCCTCACCTTCAGCAGCACCTTTAAGACATAAACACTTTGTCTACACTCCATGTCTCATGTCGGCACTAATATCTGAAAAAAAGAATGTGTATACGCACCAGCAGGCTGTTTCTGGTGGATTTCCTTGTGTTGCTCTTCTATGACAGCCAGTAGTTTTTCCTGTTGGTCTAGAAGTCTCTTCTGTTGCTCCTGTTGCTCCTTAATCACCTGTAGTAGCACTGCGTGGTCGAGCTGGCCCTCTACATGGAGACAGAGGCGTTGGATTAAAACAAGTCTGAAACTGGTCTGAGAAATATGCATTGGTTAGGCGTCTGTAAGAAGCTCAGTTAGGCTGTAGGGCCAAGCTCTATGTAAGAGAGGAGGGGAAACAGACAATAACCCACTATTAACGGATTCATTCCAACACACAACTCTAGATTGTAGCTTTAAACATAAACTGGAATGGGCAGCTGTAGACACACACAAACTATGTTAGAGGGTGAGGTGAGTGGGTGGATTCTACGCTGGTGCATTATTCAGTTATGCAATAAAAACACAAATTACCATATTTTTTGTATGAATATGTAAATATCTATTAATAGATAAATGGCCCAGTGACTGAATAACAGAAAATTTGAATGGCAAGCCGAGGTAAACAGAAGTAAAGGCAAGAGGGAATTCATACCTGCAACCAACTTTTTTATCACTGTGATAGGAGTCCAGCAGAGAAGAGAAAGAAAGAAAAAAGGGATAAAGATGGAGAAGGAGAGAGAGAGAGCAAACGTAAACAACAGAAAAAAAGAGTCAACAACAGCCAAAAAAAGACTGGTAAAAGTATCAAGCCAGGTCAAGAAGTAAAAGAAAGACATCTCTGCTATGTCTTACTCCATGTGTACCTTCGGAAATAGGCGCAGTGAGCAAGAGCAGATTACGCAGATGAGATTACACAAGATAAAACAAGCAAAGTGAGATGAGGAAAAGAGAGGCATAAACAGCATGCAGCAGACCACAGCAAACCTCTTTAAAGTCTATTACAATACCACCTGAATTAGCCAATTAACTGAAGAAAATCCACCAACCCAACCTTCATCAATCAGTTATTATATAATCATAAAACGTGTTACCATTTATTCTTTTGTGCACCCTCTCACAACCTGCCACTGTTTCTCATATTTTGATTTTCTACGTTTTCAAGAATAAATTTAAAGTGCAACTCCATCAGGGCTTTTCTGCACCGGACACACAATAGCAGAAATGCAATAGTGATGCTGTCATGTTTTCCACACTCAGGGCTAAAACAGAAAACAGTCATGTGTTGGGCGTTACTGTCAAAGGGCCACTGTACTGCACAGGCTATAAACACTGCCCCCACAAAGCTGGAGCTGCACTGCATTCTGGTCCATGGAGGCAACTGTTGGTGGAGAGACTGGCATCCCCACCCTCTACTGCATGATTTTTAAAATATTTTTAGATTACCTCACATCCAATCAAAACAGAGATTTAAAAATGTTATATCCAAATACCAAAGTTGAGTTTTAAACTTGGATTTGTCTAATTTTTTTACCAGAATTTTCTGATAAGTGACTAAAGACTTCACTCACATCTACTCCCTTTGATTTAGAGGTTTTCTACCCTTACCCTCCATCTTTTCATCTCCCGTGTCTTTGCTGTCTGCAGCTGGAGCCTCATCTGCCGCAGGACGATGCTCTCCTTCAGGAGGTTGAGCTGAAGAGTCACCAAATATCACAAGGTCAGTACTGCATTTCTCTAGATCTTTCTTTCCCTCTAGTTCCCTTCCTCTACAAGGACAACGACAAATACTCACGTTTCCCTGCAGAATCTGGAGCTTTGCCCGCTTTTTCGACCACATCCTGATTGGCCACCGCGACCGCTTGCACTGCCAGAGGATCCTTCACGGGATCGAGCTTGTCCACTTCCTTTAGCGGGGGAACTCCCTGCTTTTTGCCTGCTTGCGCTGCCTGGTTCTCTAGCACCTCATTGGACAGAACTTCACCTCCACCCAAATCCACTTCCTCTTTCCCCACAACAGCCTCAGCAGGCTTTGGGTTCTCTTCAACCTTATTGTCTTTTTTGTCATCTACCTTCGCATCATGCCCTAAAACATGCTCTCCATCTCTTTTGGGTTCTTCCTCTCCTCCGTCAACATTTTGTTTCTCTTCCTCCTTTCTTGTGTCTACCTTGACCTCATCATGAGGGATGGGAGGTTCATGGCGATGGGCCTCTCCCTCTGGCACTGCGACACCTGGGAAAACAGACGAAGCCTCGTGAATTCTACACAGTTCATAAAACATCCAGTGAAGGCTCCAGTTATGGTTCAGTTTCCTTACCAGCATCAGGACGGTCCAACTGCACCTCTTCCTCCTTCTTCCTCTTAGGTAGCTCCACTGGTCCTTTGATCTGGGGGGGCTCGGCCTGGTCCCTCTCTACAGGTTGTACCACCGCCACACCTGGGAGGTCCGGCTTTTCTATTTCCGCTGGCTTCTTGTTTGGAGGATTGTCTGCAGGCAAACGCACAAAACAATCTATTACAACACAGACTGCTGCAGAGAATCACCTCGATGAACATAAGTCTTATAATAACAGATTTATACAACTATAAAAACTGAGTTTTCTAGGATATTTTTTACTCTTGTTTAGTCCCATTACTCATAAACTTTTTATTTGTGTTTGCTGTATTTTCTCTCACACACACACACACTGTAC